ATTATTATTATTATTATTATTATTATCATCATCATCATCATCATCATTATCATCATCATTATCATCATTATCATTATCATTATCATTATCATTATTATCATTATTATCATTATTGGGCTTTACAGCAACATGTATTCCAGTAAAACCAATAATGTACCAGCATGCAATCCATTTTCTCACAACCGTGATTGATATTGATATCAATATATATCTCTATCTATCTATCTATCTATCTATGAATGAATGAATGAGAATGAATGTATATATAGAATATATATATATAAAAGGGAATTGGGTTCCTCCTAACGAAAGGGGATGATGGTAATGGTAATGGATGGGCTTACTTGTTGTGTTAATTGAATTGTGTTCCGTCTTTCGAGGTTCCCTCTGTCTAGATCTGCTTAAATACGGGGCATAAAGGAAGCAACGATGTAGGAGAGGAGGGAAGGTCACAGAAGAGCCTCCCTGTCGTGCATGTTATTATTCCACTGGAACTGTTGATCGAGGACACACATGTTGATTGGTGCAATATTGCTGCTGCTGCTGCTGCTTCATCATCATCATCTCTGTATGGCAGAGCTGGAAGGGACCCTTTGGATCAGGGAGTCCAGCCCCAGTCAGGGAGGCCCAGCCGGAGTGTGGGGGGGAATTGAACTCCCAGCCTCTGGTTCTGCAGCCAGAGAGCTAACCCACTGAGCTCTCCAGCAATTCTTCCGTTTAAGATTTCAGTGTAAAACAAACTTTGAGAAGCATCGTCTGTGTGCTTTATAAGTATCTGAAATTTGCACCAGAAACAAAAATAAATAAATTACAATTGAAATAAAAATAAAATAAAAAATAATGCTTTTGATGAAGTGCCTACAATCAGGAAAGATCGTGCTGTAGTATGTTACTCTTCTTGGGTCACTAGATTTTTTAGTTTATTTTTTACTGTAACCAACATATCCCTTCAGATACCGTGCCATATATATCCTTAATATTTTGCCCCATGTTTGGGACGGACGGTATATCCATCCTCATTTTTCTCCCTGATAGATCTTCTGTTCTTTTGATTGAAAGGAACTAAACACTCAGTCCCATGCCTTTGTGTATCTAAAAATGTCCCCAGGTTGGTCACTGTGTTAATCTGTTCCGGCGAAAACAGCAAAGAACCCCTGTGATATTTTAAGGAGTGTCACACTTTATTCGCCACAAGCTTTTGTGAATGAGAGCTGGAGGAAAGCTCTGTCTGCTTGGTTTCCTTCTGCTTTCTCAGGCCACAAAAGTGGCAACGTGGATTGCTATGGGCGAGTGAGAAGTGTGAATGAAGATAGACCAGGCATTTAAAGACTGCAGTTGGACCTGCAGAGTCTTCTCCTGGTTTCTGGTTATTGAAAGTATTGGCAAAGAGCACTGACTCCAGTCCTCTGAAGATGCCGGCCACAGAGAGACTGGTGAAACGTTAGGAAGAACAACCTTCAGAAGATGGCCAACGAGCCTGAAAAACCCACAACAACCATACTGGCAAAGAGTTGTTTTAATTGATTTATTTTTTTTCATGTAGAAACAGAGCAAGAGGATGCTGTGTAATAACCCTGAAGCAGCAGCCGGTGGATCTGTCTGATAGTACCTTCCTTTGAGATCTTTGTGATTTATGTTTTCCGCCAAATGTCATAACCAGTCGCTGTTTCTCTCTCTCTTTCTTCCAGAGCCTGCCAGCTGTGGTCGGGGGCACAGAAGCAGAATGGAAGCCACAGCCTTAGAGAGCCTGATTGAGATGGGCTTCCCGCAGAACAGAGCGTACGTGTCCGCCCCTGTGGGACGCAGGGCTGGGGACGCATCGGAGCCGAGATACATGTTTTGTCTAACGGCCCTGCGGTTTGAATGCATGGGGTGGCGAATCCATTTGTTCGGGGTAGAGACCGTGTTGCATTTTCCAGAAGGATAGGGCAGGGTGTGTGGGTTTGTGTTTTGCTTTTCCAGGAAGCTCCCCTGCTAAGGTGGCCTGCTTTCTGGAACATCATGATGAAGAGACCTGTGATCTCTGAAGCTTACATCCTTTTTAAATGCATTGTTGGTTGGCATAGGCAGATAGGACCACGAGAGGGATTTTACCATTTGTCCTGTGCCTAACACAAACACAGCAGGGGCCCCCTTATCTGCAGGATCCGTATCCACTGATTCATTTATCCATAGTCTGAAAATATTAAAAATATATTTTTAAAAAGAGTTCTAAAGTGGAAGTTAAATTTAAATAGCCTTGGCTATAATCCGCATTTTTCTGCATCTGAAATTGGTGGATTGGAACCAATTCTTTGTGGATCCAGTGGTCCTGCTGTACTGCTTTTTGTGTAGCTAGTCCTTGTGCGATTGTTTTGGATGGTATTATCCATTTAACACAGTAGTGCGTGCATTTAGTAAATCAGTTGCGACTTGCCGGGCATGCTTATAGGGGTTTGGTGACTGACAGCGTAAGGCAACACGGATTTTGAAGACCTGTGAATCAAAGCAGCATGCAAAGGTGTCCTCGGGCGTTGTCTTAAATCAGTGTATGCTTAACTTCTGCCTCGTGGCTGCTTCATTCACTTTCAGACCAATCGGGTGTTGTAACAATAACGGTGATGATAATAGCAGCTGCGTCCATGTGTCCGGGTTCCACATCATGTTGCCCAGGAGGCTCATGCGTAAAGCATATGGCTTGAAAGTTTGAGGAAGCCGGAGAGGTGAAATAGGCTAGGTTGCCCAAAGGCCGTCTTAGGAAAGGAAAGGAGACCGTTCGGAAGAGGCCTGAGTTCAGACGGGATTGATTGCATCTTGCGTCTCCTTTTTGCCCCCAGAGAGAAGGCCCTCGCCTTGACGGGAAACCAGGGCATAGAATCGGCGATGGATTGGTACGTATTGCATCAGCGCCTTCCTCCCTGCTTCAGGCAACGGCTCTGCTTTTAAAAAATGCTTACCCCACGACTCCTTCTCGTTAACGCTAGGCTCATGGAGCACGAAAACGACCCTGACCTGGATGAGCCGTACGTAGCCCCGCAGGGCCACGTCCTGGCCGCGGAGGAGCCCCCCGAGGGAAGGACTGCGGAGTCTTCGGAGAACAGATCAGGTCAGAGGAAAAAAAAACCCAGGAGGGGATGAGAGAGGAGGCCTGGCTGTGGCCTCACCTTGCTCAGGAACCCACGTCATATTGACCGAGCATAACTCTTTCCCTGCAGCTGAGAGCAGAGTTGGTTAATGGTGACTTCCGGGGCCAGAAAAATACTCTTGATTTAAAGAGAAACCCAGCTTACACACTTCCAGAGAAGGTTGTGCTGGGAATATTGCCCAAACCTAGGAAAAGTTATTCCTTCCTTCTTGATGCCAGTGATGGGTTCAACACTCTCTGTAGACTATTAAAACAACAACAATACGCCTCCAGAGGTGGGGGGAGGTTCATCTGCCTTCAAACCAAGCTGAGCACCACTTGTTTGGACGCAGCAGCCCCCCAAGGTTCAATGTGTTGGCCTTCATCTGGGTCGTATCCTTGATCCCACAACCCCATTGCTTGCTTAGACAGAAAAGAGAAATAAAATTCCCTAGGGATCAGTGCCCACAGTTTCAGTTATCCAAGATCTAAAAATATGAAAAGAAATAATTTTTTTTTCACGTTTTACCAGAACTGACCACCAGAGGGAGCCAGAGACCATGCTATGAATTCTTATTGGTGAAGAATACATAGCCTGGTCTCTGGCACCTTCTAGTGGCCAGTTATGGTAATGCAGATAGTTTTTTTTCTTTTACCATTCTATTTATCTGTCTGTCTCTAGTGTTTGCTATTGTCCGTGGACTCCATTCCCTGTGGATATGAGGACCTGCTTTATCTTGCCTTCAGATGGTTAAGGCCCCCATTTACTCTGGGATGGGGCAGATTGACTGATAGACTTCTTTCCTTACAAGCTGCTTCCTCTGAACCCTGAGGAATAGGTTGTAGAATGACAGCCTCCTTTCCCTCCTCAATCCACAGATCCTACGTTAGAGGAGCTGACGGAGGAAGACAACAGACGCCCCCTGAGCGAGGAAGAGAAACGGGAGCAGACGAAGAGGTAGAGATTGTGGTTCAAGGGGGTTAAAGCACCTGGGAAGGAAAGAAGCCGGTCTCAAGCTGAACAAGAGACCTGTTTAGTTTTTGCAAGGATGAGACTGTTTTCCCTCAGAAACTGTTAAATGATGTTCTTCTTTTCTGCTGTCAAATCCCTCTCCAAAATGCCCTGCCCTGCTCAGGGCTTGGAAACTCAAGCCTGTGGCTTCCTTTAGGGAGCCCGCCCATCTCACATTTGGGTCTTCCTCTTTTCCTGCTGCCTTCCATTGTTCCCTTCATGATGGCCTTTTCCAGACAATCTTGGCTTTCCCTGAATGATCTCTGGAGGCAAAAATGTTGAAACTGAGGCCGTTCTGCTTTGGGCACATCATGAGTAGATGGGATTCTCTAGAACAGACAGTAATACTGGGAAAACAGCCTCCGTTTCAACATTTTTGTGCCTCCAGAGATCATTCAGGCTTGGTTTGATCGAGGACCCCCTTGTTTATCTTCCCGGCAGCCCAGAGTATCTGCAAAGCTGTTCCCCAGCACCACGGTTTCTTTAGAGTAATAATAATTGTGTGGCCATCAAGTCCTTTCTGACTTTTGGCAACCCTTTTTCAGGGTTTTTCCAGGTAGAGAATAAGAAATGGTTTTCCGTTCCCTTCCTCTAGGGGGAGCCCTGGGGACTTCGCAGTTGGCCCAAGGCTACACAGTCTGGCTTTACTCCCAGGAGGCACAAGGGGGGGGAACTGAACCTGTGGCTCAGAGGTTAGGCCCTTTACAGTAGGCCTAATAATAACGAAAGGAGAAAGAGACAGTGCGTCTCAAAAGTTCCAAGTGTTCTGTATGCTTTGTTTTGCTCTTTTCATCCTGGTCCTTTCCAGACCAGGATGTAGGGATTATGGGTGTTGTAGTTAAGTCCTGGGATTCCTCTTGACCTCTTTTGTGACTTCCAGGATGTTGGAACTGATCGCTCAGTTACAGTAGGCCTAATAATAACGAAAGGAGAAAGAGACAGTGCGTCTCAAAAGTTCCAAGTGTTCTGTATGCTTTGTTTTGCTCTTTTCATCCTGGTCCTTTCCAGACCAGGATGTAGGGATTATGGGTGTTGTAGTTAAGTCCTGGGATTCCTCTTGACCTCTTTTGTGACTTCCAGGATGTTGGAACTGATCGCTCAGAAACAGCGGGAGCGCGACGCGAGGAGGTCTTAGGGAAGGCTGAGGCTGTCTTAGGAAGGAGCCAGCCAGCCCTCCTCTTGACCTCCTTCGTGGCTTCCAGGATGTTGGAACTGATCGCTCAGAAACAGCGGGAGCGCGAGGAGCGGGAGAAGCGCGAGAACATCGAGAGGGAGAAGCAGCGCCGGAAGCAGGGCCAGGAGCTCTCCCTCATCCGCCAGAAGCTGCAGGAGGACGAGATGAAGAAGCTGGCCGAAGAGAGGCGCCGGGAGAAGCTGGAGGAGAAGCTGGCCAAGTGAGAGCACAGGGGTGGTGGTGGTGGCAGGTGGGGAAAAAAAGGAGGGAGGAGAAGGATGAGATGAGACTGTGCCTGCGGAGTGGAGAAGCAGCAGCAGCGCACTTTGTAGCGCTGGTTTTACATCTCCCCAAGGGGGAAAAACGGAGGGGCGTTCAAGCAGGGAGGAGAAGGACGAGATGAGACTGTGCCTGCGGAGTGGAGAAGCAGCAGCAGCGCACTTTGTAGCGCTGGTTTTACATCTCCCCAAATCAAAATACAGCAGGTCCCTCTTATCCGCGGGATCAATATCCGCTGGTTCACTCATCCACAGGTTGAAAATACTAAGCATATTGTATCTATGAAGTTAATAGAAGTGACCACTAGAGACCATGCTATGTGTAGTATTTGCTAGTAAAATAGCATTTGTGGTCATCCACGTTTTTCAGCATCTGCAGGGGGGGCCTTGGAACCGATCCCCTGCAGATATGGGGCCCCTACAGTAAAGGCAGAGGAATGTAGGGTGCGAGCCCCATTCCCCTGTCTTCAAGGTGACTTTGTAGTGTTTTTTTTTCCAGAGTTTCATAGACCGTGGTCTTTCCCATCATCCTTCGTGCAAAGACGGCCAGTAGCTCTCTGGGCTTCCAGGGGGGTCTCTCCCAACCTTACCTAGATATCTTGGGGGGGGGGATCAACCCTGCTAGCGGAATCTAGAAAGAATCTCTTGGAAGGAAGGGTGTCCGCTTATCTCCTTCTGAGCAACGGGGGAATTTTCAGAGAGCCCTCCAACCTGAATTAGCCTCCCTAACCTCTCTTGCTCCCCCTTAAAACTGCTCTTCTTTCCAGGCAGCGGGTTCGAGAGAAGATTGAACACGACAAAGCGGAGAGGGCAAAGAAGGTGGGTGAGCCGCCGGGCGGAAGGTCCCCCGGGTTTTCTCTTTCGAAGCTCACATGTGCAGTTACTCCATCCGGTGGGACGCCTTTATTGCTACCCTGGTCAGTCCGACGGGGCAGGATACGCAGAGCCGGATCATATTTAATTTTGATCAGGGATGGGGAATCTCCGGGAGTACAGGGCGGTTCTGGTCTGTGGAGGCTTCCTTCTTTGGGAGGCTGCCGAGGAGAGGAACGGCTTACTCTCGATTTCCCCTCCCTGTCGCTCAGGGGAGACGCTTTCTGCACAGCGCCGGGCCTCTGTGCTGTAAATTAAAAGAGTTAGGAACTGCGTTTAGGCCAGGCCGGGGGCTGATTTAATTTCGGAGAGGTTGGGCAGGAGATCCCTGCAAGAGGTGGACCCCAAAATGCTTCTACCCACAAAAAAACCTAGTGTTTTGAAGCTGTGCGGGTGCGAGGACATCCCAAACCCCGGGTGCCCTCCAGTGATGGTGTCTGAGGGCCGAGGGCATGATCCGGAGACTCTCAGGAGGGCCGGATTCAGCCTAAGGGCCTTCCACCCCTGCTGCGAAGGCCTCTGGGTCTAGGTTGCCCCCCTCCCGACGATAGTTCCTCCTACATCCACTTTCATCTCTGCCTTCCAACGAGATGGCCAACGAGCAGAGAACTCGGTCCTAACTGGGTTGTTTTTCTTCCTCTGTGGTTGGGCCGGTTGACTCCCAAAGCTTCTTTTGCAAAAATTAAAAATGGTGCCCCCCCCCCAAGATCTCATTGAGGCCCTCCCTCCCGTGCAAGGTGGTGTTTTTGGCTATGCAGTCTATGGATTTTGAGAAACTTGAGTGGGACTAGAATGAGCTTTTTCAATTTCTGATTCTTTCTGCCTGTCCCGCTTTGCCTCCAATGACCAAAGGTATGTGTGGCTTTCTTTCCTTTCCCTCCTCCCGCTTAATCCTCAAGATGGACCTTGTGAAGTAGGATCCAGCAGAGAGAAGGACAAGCTCAAAGCCCTGTGTTCAGTTTCATAGCTCAGCGTCAAGAGTTCAGAGTGGGCTTCCAAGCCCCAAGGGCGTTCGTTGCATAGCTTGTCAAACATTAGAATCTTATTTTCCATTTAGCCCTCTAAACCGCGTACTCCACACCATCCAGCCCTATTTCCCTGGACTGGGATACCGTGGGTTTTAAGAGAAGATTTCTCTGTTGCTGTGTCTCAACGTGCGTCTGCTTCACCGGATTGTAATCCGGGGACGTTCATATGAAAGAAAGCTGCTCTTTTAAAAAGATCGCCGTCCTTTTGCCTCTGTTTTAGTTTTGTTGTAGAGGAACACCAGGGATCGCATAAGAGAAACTCAGGGGGAAAAACTTCCTAACTGTTAGAGCAGTATAAGAATGGAACCAGTCACCAACTGTTAGAGCAGTACGACAGAGGAACCCATGACCTCGGGAGGTAGTGAGCGCTCCCAGCGCTGGAGGCATTCAAAAGAAAAATTGAACCACCGTCTGTCTGATGTGCTTTGATTTGGATTCCTGCCTTGAGCCGGGGGTTGGACTTGATGGCCTTATAGGTCCCCTTCCAACTCAACTATGATTTTATGGATTCCATGAAAAATGAAAAGATCCTGCGTGTGGTCTTTTCATAACCCACAGCAGTGAGTGCTTGAATCCAACCCAGAGTCTTATTCATCTTGTGCTTCATTAGATTCTCTTTTAATTTGTCTGGGGCCAGATTTCTCTCTGTAGAGAACAGGACAGGTTCCTGCATTTGTGTAAAGGCGTCATGGTGGCTCTTTCGTTACTTAAAAAGCTGCGCTTCTTTCCTTCCCTTTTCATCCCAGTTTGGCGGTGGCTGCAGCACCTCTTCCCAGTCGTCGGCCCCACCGGAGCCAGTGGCTCCCGCCCCGGTCCCTTCATCGCCCAGCCAGGAGCCCCCCGTCAAACGGGAGTACGATCAGTGCCGGATACAGGTAAGGCAGCGCCAACGGAGGGAGAACGCAACCCTGAGGCTGGTTGGTCACCAGAGAGATGGGCATGGCTTGGACTACAAAGCTCAGAATCCCCTGGCACAACCAGAGGCTGTTAGTTTGGGGATTCTGGGAGGGGTTAGTCCACTGTGCACCTAGGAGGGGGAGAATGGAATTTGACCATTTTAATATATTTCAAGAGGACTCCTAATAATTACCCCTCTAAAAATGAAACCTTGATGTAAGCATGATCAAAAACATATTCCACACACAGTAGACCTCTGGACCATCTGCATAAGAATTCTTGTTAAGAAAAGAGGCATGGCCCAAATATGGATGTACAGTGGTGCCCCGCTTAATGATTACCCCGCTTGACGACGAATCCACTTCACGACAATGTTTTTGCGATCACAATTGCGACTGCAATACAATGTTTTAATGGGCTTTTTTGCTTCCCGACGATCGGCTCCCTGCTTCGGGAACCGATTCTTCGCATTACGACGATCAAAACAGCTGATTGTCGGGTTTTCAGAATGGCCGCCGGCTGCTCAAAATGGCTCCCTGCTGTTTTTAGGAGGCATTTTTCGCTGCACAGGCACCCAAAAATGGCCGCCCTATGGAGGATCTTAGCTGGACGAGCAGGTATTTTGCCCATTGGAACGCATTGAAAGGTTTTCAATGCATTTCAATTGGCTTTTTTATTTCGCTTGACGGAGATTTCGCTCTACAGCGATTTCGCTGGAACGGATTATCCTCGTCAAGCGAGGCACCACTGTATTAATAATAGTGTTAGAACTGTGGAGCTGGAAGGAATCGAACCCCCAACTCTGCAGGCAGAGACTTGAACCCCCGAGCGGCCCAGCAGCTCATCCGCCCGGCCTCTTCCTTCCCTGGCAGGTGAGGCTGCTGGACGGGACGTCGCTCACCCAGACCTTCAGAGCCAAAGAGCAGCTGGCGGCCGTCCGGCTGTACGTGGAGCTGAACCGCAGGGACGGCGGGGAGGACCCGTTCGTCCTCCTCACCAGCTTCCCGCGGCGCGTCTTCACGGAGGAGGACATGGAGAAGCCCTTGCAAGAGCTGGGTAAGCTGGGCGGGGCCGGGAGGGGGGGGGAGAGCTCGGAGGCATCAGAGGGAGGGTCTCGGCGGAAGATGGCTTTGCCGATGCAGGAAACTGGCTTTCTCTTGGCCAGTTCGAAACCCTCAGTTTTATGCCTTGCTGGCGAGCGAACCTGGCGCCACCTAGCCACAATCGTAGCTTCTCAGGCCACTTGGCAATCCTTGTTCGTGGCCCCACTAGCCGCTGCCCTGTCCGGGGTCTGCATTCCCGGGTCTCCGACCACCCGGTGGTGCCCATGGTCCGATCGCTAGGGAGCGTCTGCTGCGGTTGCTCCTCCTGTCCTCAAACACCGGCCACTGAAACCATTGCTTAAATGGTAAAGCTGCCGTTGGGGAAATCCTCCTGACACACGAGGCATGCTCTAGTAGTAATTAGCCATCAGCTCCAGGCCCCGACCGCCTTGTGTTGGAGGACACAGGATCAAGGAAGGCTTAAACTCTTGAGCATGTCTGCCTGTTTCATAGTCTGTTTCAAACGCCTGCCCTCTCCTTTTAACCAGAGACGCCAGGAATTGAACCTGGGACCTTCGGAGCAGGCGCTGCATGCCCTCTGTCGTTCAGAGCCCTCTTCTCTAATTATCATGTGGCTGATCCATAGAATGCCACCATTTTCCCCAAACAACAGAGGGAGACTTTATAAAGAATCACTTCTCTATATTGATGCATACTCCCATAGACTGCGTTCCATTTAATTACAAGAGCTGTACTCCTAAAATTTAAATATACCGCTGAATACTGGAAACGGGAAGGCAGCTAAGGATTGTCAGTGGCCATCAACATCATTTTAGCTGATGTGATGATTGATTTCTGCTGTTGTTCAGTGGCCATTTTGGAGATCCTATTGTCTAAAGTCTGCGTTAAACTTTGCCCGTTGCCAGTCTCGCTATATACCCGCAAAGGGCAGACCTCCCGAGGTCACAGAAATGAAGAAGGCTCGGATTTCCTCATTTACACGCCTGGGGTGGGGGGTGGGTCCTTCTCTCTCACTTGCCAGCATCCTCTGTCCTCTCTCCAGGTCTGGTGCCTTCGGCTGTGTTGATCGTGGCTAAAAAGGGCAACAGTTGAACGTTTGGCTCCTGCGCTCGCTTGGATCTCAGCCCGCTTTCCCTCGCTGCTGCCCGTGGAGGTGACTCTCATCTTTCCTTCTGCTCCACCTCTGGGTGTCGTCCTCACAGCCCCACTCCCCCCCCCCAAGTTTCTCACACCTGGCTCTGACTGTGGAGGACCCAAAGCAGCAGCAGCAGCATCTCCTAGGGCTGGGATCCTGAACGAGGGCTGAAGGAATAGAGGGGCGGGATGGGTAAAGAAGATTTGGGCTTCCCCGGTGCCCCTGAATGGGGAGGGATTGGTTCGCAACTTGGACCATCCTCCCTGGGGAGGGGGGCACCACGCCGTGAATAAAACCTATTCCTATGCCTGCTTCTTGTGGTGGCTTCCTTGACAAAGAAAAAAGAGGTGGATGGAAATCCTGATTCTGCCAGATTTGAAAGCAAGTTACTGTGGTTCCCCCAAATAAGTGCAGAATAAGCAGGATTTTAAGGGTTTTATTTTAATACATAGGGGAGCGCACTGTCCATTTCTGGCATGGCGTATGGCACAGACTTTCTAGGATCCACGCTGTTGATCTCAAGGGTGAAAAGCCACCTCCGTCCACGTGGCTAAAATCAGAAGAGGGCTGTTGAGCTGGCCCGCCCACCCGGGCTGTTTTCTCTATTTGAGTCTGAACTTCCAGGGATGCGAGCGGACACCAAATCCTGGCGAAGGGGGTGCACGTAGATTTGCTCCTTCTCATCCGCTCTTCCGCGGTCTAGGTCCGACTAGGATGGCCAGACCCCAACTCACGAGACCTGAAGAAGCAAAGAAGAGAAGGCATTTTGTGTGACGGCGAAGGGGAAAAAAGGTGGTGGCTCCCACTCTTGCATACGGTGCAGGAGCAGCAGGGCCCGGACAATCAAACCTAGGTAGTTTAGCGAAAGGGGCAGGCAGGGTAGGGGGTAGGGGTATAAAATAGCCCCAAATTAGGGAGGCTCCTTTTTCTGAGTAGAGAATCTCTTGCCCAAAAATATATTTCCAAGTTAAGAAAACAATGCCAAGCCTCAAACACTTTTGTCAGTTTCAAGCCCTGCCGCCCCCCCGCTGAAAAATGTGGATCATGAATACTATTTTAATAGCAAGCACTCTGTATAGCAAATCTCTGGCTCCTTGTAGCAGCCCGTTCCGGTAGCTCCCATCTTCAGAAATAATATATATTTCTAGGATTTTTAAAGAAATATTTTGAGACTGGATCAGGGAATCAGTGGATACCAATCCCTCCAGATCAAGGCATGCGCCTGTCCTCTGCAGCCAGATGATGTCGCCTGTCCTTTGGTGGCCATCAAAGGGAGAGAGACGGAAAAGATCATCTTGCAAAGGAGTACGATTGCTTTTAATTAGGGGAAGGGGGGAAGGAGCCTGTGGGGGTCCAGAGATGGTCAGGCTTCTTAAAATCCCATCGTCCCCCAGCCCATGGTCACAGGCTGGTGAAGGGTGGGATCCAGCAACGTTTGGGGAGCCATCATGTCTGTGTCACTGATGTGGGAAGGGTCTATTTAGCTCTCAGACAGACCATCTCCTTTGCTAACGAGACATCTCAAAGGGGGGAAAAAGACTTTGGCCAAGATGCCAAGAGAATTGTGGCAAGGCCACTTTTACTTATTTCAAATGCTCTTACCCTTCGCGTCCTAAGTGTGCATCCCTATCAGTGAGTCTACAATACTAAAAGGATCAAATAAATGTTGCACTAAAAATGGTAAAGAAAAGCAACAGCAAAACATGTTCCCAGCAGTAAAGTATGGCAACCCACTTAAAAAACACGATTGAGGCAGCCGGTCCTTGAGGGAAAGCCTGCCTGAGGAGAAAAGTTCTTGGCTTGCTTGGCAATGGAGAGCCAAGGTGGGGGGGGGGGCAGCCTGGTTTCCAGTGGCAGGGAGTTCCAGAGTCTGGGAGCAGCCACCAAGATTCCCCACCAAGGGCACCTGTGAAGGTAGTGGGATTGAGCTGTGGGACATAGGTGTGTGTGTGTGTGTGAGAGAGAGGGGGGTGATCCCTGTGACCACTGAGCAACCCAGCTGCCGCATTTTGGACCTGCTGAAGCTCCCTGGTGCTTCTCTGAGGCAGCCTCTCCCCTTGCAGAAGGCCTGCAAGTATTAAATAGCACAGAAGACCCAAGGGGGACACTGAGGGACCCCCGAAGCCCAGGAATCCCCCCCCCAAAGCATCACTTTCTAAACCCTCTCCTCTGCTTTGGGCTCGATCCTCTCCCCTAAACTCTTTATCTTCTGTTTTAGACTAGATCTCCCCCCAATCTCTGGACTAGATCCTCTCCCAAAAAAATCTCTATTTCTTTGGACTAGACCCCCTCCCCTCCGGCAATCTCTTACCAGCCATGCTGCCTGAGGGCTTCGGGGGATGATGGTGGTGGTGGTGGTGGGTTGTCCTTCCCTCGGCCTGCCCACCGACCCGGTGTGTGTGTGTGTCTCCCTCTTTCCTCCCCCCCACTCCCCCACCCCGTCGCCGCCCAAAGGAGGCCCAGCGGCACTCTGCCCGTGCTCAGAGGCCCCCTCGCCCCTCGCCTCACCCACGCTCAGGAACACCTGGAGGTGGGGGATCTTCTTGTTCAGCCTCCACAGCTGCCCGGCCTGGGAGTGGCGGATGCCGTTGAAGACCCAGAGGCCGGAGCCGATGAAGGCGGCCGAGCTCAGCAAGCGGCAGGCCGGGGAGGAGCAGAAGGGCGGCCGGTACTCGGATTCCTCGCTCGCCATGGCTCCTTCGGCGGGGCAAGATGGCGGCGCCCAGGGAAATCCACGCCGGAAGGGCCGCCGCCCCCTTCCAGCCGCTCCGCTTCCTGCCTGCTCTCTCTATGGAAGGACCTCGGCCCCCGTCCGCTCGCTCTAAGTCTCCGGGCGGCAACGCCTCCCCTGATTCTTTGTTCCGGGCTGAAAAGAAAACAGCCTTGTCAATTTTTTTTTAAAACCAAAGGCCCCATATGTAGTAAGGATTAAAAATGCTGTGTTTGTCAAGGAACTTCGATTTATTAGCCACCTCCTCCCTCTTCCACCAGCCCCCAGCTTGCCTTCCTACAGCCACATAATGGCTCGAAGAGGCATTTTGAACCCCTATTTCATATTAATGAAAGTGATCCATAGTGCTTCCGGCTCACACAAAGTATCTTACATATTTTTTTTCTTTTCCTGCTGATCATTAAACAGATTACAGTAAAAGAAACATTGGTAACTGAGCTATTTATTAATATTATAGATTCAGACACTATTACTGAAAGTGTGTGCTGAAAATAAAGAAAATAAAAAATATAATAGCCACCCAAAGTGATTTCACTGCAATCTATTGTATCTAGTGCTCGACTTCCTTTGCAGGTGCTGACAGCCTTGGATTGAACAGCTTTTGCTGAAGGGAAAAGCAAAATAACTTTTTATGCTTACACTTAAAAAAACTTGTTTTTTCACCTCAGATTGCTACCTTATGAATTCTGGAGGGTTTAATACTGGTAACCACAGTCCATAGAGGGGGAAAACATGCTTCAGAAAACAGACTACTGAATTAATTCGGAGAAATTTTATTTTTTTAAAAAAGCACACCTCCTGGCTCTCATAATCAGAAAGATTGTAAAAATAATCAGACTTCTTGCAAACTTTTCCGGCTGTCTACATAACAGTTCCAAAACACATTCAAAGGAGATTTTAAGTTCAGCTGGTTTTTATTCCATTGCACTGTAAGTCTGGTGGCATGTTTTATTCTCAAACTCTTCTGGTGTTGCGAGCCATGTCGAGTGAAGCTTTCAGTGGGAAAGTGATGTCACAAATAGGAGTTTAAGCTCATGTCCACTTTCTTCCAAGGACGCATCCCACATTTTCCATAGTGCAATTCCAGCAGCCTAAATGTCCCAATTAGTGAACAAGACCCTACTCACCGCCTTACAAGTTGTAGTTCCAAGAGACTTCTCAAGTAACACTTAGTAATTAACTAAGATGAAAGCATTTACTTCCTTCTAGTCACAGCTATTTCAGAAAACCCAATTTGTGACACCACTTCTCCACAAAGCTTTCATGAAGAACAAAACACAGGGTTTCTAGACGCTTCACCCACCATTGCATGGCAAGTGAACAAAATTCAAATTTAAAGTCACGTAGGACAGTATGTTAGGCTAGGAAGAGCCTTCCACATGTTTGAAATCCTGAGCAAAACTTTAAACAGCACCAAAAAAAAATCTGTGATCAAGCTGCAGCCTCTAAGCCCCAACCTCAGCACCTTTGGGTGAAATTTCCTAGCAGTACACAAGACTCCTGGTGAAGATTTGGGAATATTAACAAAGGGAGAAGATATAGAAAATAAAGTTTACATACCTATTTTTTAATACAAGAACAAAGCAGTATGGGTATTAAGTTACTAAGCAGCAGCCCTTCAGTAAGCTACGGGCAAGAGAGCCACAGAAAACTGTGGCACACCATCACTGGGGTAACATAACTTTATATTCCTTCCAGGTACCTTGCGGCTTTCCCTCTTCTTAAATGGCATGGCTGCTTCTCGAGAGGGGAAGAGTGGTCCAAAACCCACAGACACGGATCGACGATCCTGTAAGCCAAGAACCAGGCCAGTGTATTTCATGGAAGCATTTCTGTGTGACTTAAACCCAGCATGATCCTTGGATCTTCGCCTTGGCAAGGAATTTTCAAGCCTAGGGTGCTGCTTCTATACCGCCCCGTAGTGCTTAAAACACTCTCTTGGTGGTTTACAACTTAATTATGCAAGCGACACATTGCTCTCCCCCTTCAAAGCAAGCAGAAAACCTAATTTACTCTCATCAGAAGGCTGAGCCAACCCTGAGCTGGCTACCTGAGCCCGCTGGAATCAAAATTCAGGTCCTGAGCAGTCTTAACTGCAGTACAGTGGTGCCTCGCTTTACGATTGCCCTGTTTAACCACAAAACCGCATTACGATGTTTCCTATGGGGGAATGTCGCTTTGCGATGATCGGTTCCCTGCTTTGGGAACTGATTCTTTGCAAAACGACAATTTTCCAACAGCTGATCGGTTTTCGCAAAACGACGATTTTCCAAAATGGCCACCGGGTAAACAAAATGCCCCTTGTGCTGTTTTCTGGGAAGGATTCCTTGCTGCACGGGCATCGAAAATGGCCGCCCTAAGGAGGATCTTCGCTGGATGGTGAATTTACAGCCCTTTGGAACATATTAAACGGGTTTTAATGCGTTTCAGTGGTTTTTTTTCTTTTCGCATTACAAAGTTTTCCTTCTACAACGATTTCTCTGGAACGAATTAACGTCGTAATGCGAGGCACCACTGTACTGCGGTTTAACTACTGCACCATGAGGATCCGATATAGACTCCACAGCACATAACAACCACGGCTGATGGGACACCCGGGTGTTCAAGCAAGAAGCACAGCAAGCTTTTAAAAGAAGCAGCTGTGCTTTACAAAAACTCTTTACCTACTTGGGAGCAAGAGAACCATGCACCGTCATTCCCAAAATTTACCCGGATCGCTCTCCTGTCGCAAAAATCTGATCCACAACGCCGCCAGCACCTTGCACATTCTGACCAGCAGCACAAGATGTCCCCAGCTCCTTTATAAAGTTGTTAAAGTTGTACAAATGCATGGTTTCCCCCCCAAAGTGATACGTTTAGTGCAAAGTTCCAATGCTTTATTCAGCTCAGAATCAGCTGTCTTTGGAGCCAGGATCCTTCAGATGTCCGTCCAGAGAATGACCCTTCCATATTCAGCCCCCATGCAGCTACCAGGGTGGGTTGGTTGGTTGGAGTGGGGTGTGCTATTTTTTCCCAAACCACAGGCTCGCGGCTAGATCCTTGTCGGTCTCAATCGCTTCTTTCAAGGCTGCTACAGTCTTGCTTTCCTCATTTTGAGCATTGGACTGCTGTAAAGAGTGGTGTTTATAGAACTCCTACAACCAAAGAGAAAGACACAGCAATGAGGCAACGAAAAAGCTCAGGATGCCTCTGCGGCTTGAAAAAAACACATAACGCGCTATCCCACGTCCCCTTTAAGAGAGTTTAATTCTAATTTTAAAAAGAACAAAGAAAAATAGCAACCCACTTTTATGCAGTAACATGGTATTTTCCACATATAGGAATTAAAACATACTTTAATAAGATGTCTCAAAAACCAACTTTTTCTCACTTTTCTGTTGAGGGGATCTTGACACGAACACTGCAAATCTCTGAGGCCATTTACAATTTAGTCTAAAATTGGACATGGAAGTTCAGACTGAGTCCTTCAAGGTCAGAAGCCTCAGCTGTTCTGACACAGCGAAAGCTTTATACATCATCCTCGTGGAACTACACAGCTGGAAGGGACCCTGTGGATCATCCAGTCCAGCCCGTCAAGGAGGCCCAGTGGGGGAATCGAACTCCCAGCCTCTGGGCCCGCAGCCAGAGATCTAAAAGACTGAGCTATCTGGCTTTAGAGAATGCCTAGAAACCAATATCACAACTCTTCTCCCCCCCCATTGCACTCAATTCTTGGACCAATTTCCACCTATTTATGTTTCCTGATTAATTTAAAGTCGTGTATCATTTATTCGTTCTCATGACAACCCTAGGTCTAACCTTCTTCTTAGGAATCTAAATCCAAGCAGCTCTAACAGAGGGTTGTCCAATTTTCTCTTGATATCATTTATTCGTTCTCATGACAACTCTAGATCTAACCTTCTCCTTAGGAATCAAAATCTAAGCAGATCTGACAGAGGGTTGTCCAATTTTCTCTTGAATGCCTCCAGTGTTAGACGGCTTCATGGGTTGCGTTGTCGTACTGCTCTAAATATCATTTATTCGTTCTCATGACAACTCTAGATCTAACCTTCTCCTTAGGAATCAAAATCTAAGCAGATCTGACAGAGGGTTGTCCAATTTTCTCTTGAATGCCTCCAGTGTTAGACGGCTTCATGGGTTGCGTTGTCGTACTGCTCTAACAGTTAAAGAAGCTTCATGGGTCGCGTTGTCGTACTGCTCTAACAGTTAAGGAGTTTTTCCCTGCCATTCAGCCGAAATCTGGCTTCCTCTAAGATTGATTGCCTGCCACGCTCCCACAACCGCCTACTTCGAAACAACATGGCGTTTCTTTTTTAGCTGCAGGGGTGGGGACGCAACAGCAGCCCCCAGGACAAGTTTGGGGTATAATTCGGTGAGGATACCTAAGCACACAATCTCAAGAAAACCAGATTCACTGCGTTCATTTTTTTTGGGGGGGGGTCTCCTTTCTATTTGTTGTTGTTGTTTTGCACTGTCCACAAAAGAATTGTGGTGAAGCCTGAGAAAGTGGAATTTTCCCCACCAAAGCTTGCAATTTGTTTATTTACGGACCGAATACAAGGCATCACCCGCTCTTAGCTTCCAGCAATCCTCTCCACAGGTCTTCCCGGCAAAAAATTAAAAATAAAAGTGGCTTCTTCTCATTACCTGCCACTTCATTCTATTAATTAAAAAGACTAAATATTGAAATTATAATGCATGTAAAGCATGTAGCCAAAGTCTGGCTCAGTTACTTTAATCCTGAAGCTAGAAAAAGTTCCTTTTTTTTGCAGGTGGGAGTGAACGACCATCTCCCAAAGGGCGTCACCCACCAGGGGCTACCAGGGGAGGATGGGCTTTGTAGTAGCCGAGGCATTTCAGCTCCCTCCCCCTCCTCCCCCCCCAATCATCCTCGCACCGCCGAGACACCTTCAAGTTCTCCTTCCTGGCCTTCTCGGTCCAAGAGACCAGCCACAGCCCTAACGCCATCGACCCGACCATCCCCAAGGCCGCCATCCCGCGACGCGAGAGCGCCATCCCGGAACGAGACGCCAAGGTCGGGGGAAGGGAAAGGGCGACGCACGACCATCGAGAGGAGGAGGCGGGGGCGGCTGGCCCGGCCAGAGCGCTTCCGCATGGAACGTAGAGTTATGAAGATTAGAGGGGGCTGCAATCGGTTCTCACGCCAGCTTTTGAGACTCTTTAGACTCCCCAGAATCTCCCACTATAGTAGAGAGGAGAAATCTGATTTATTGTCCTCAAGAAATCTATACAGGCGCTCCCTGAGTTTGCGACTGAGGGTTCACAACAGCCTTGCAGTGTAGTCCCCTATTCATATTTGTAGGCCAGACACTGATTGGATTTTCCTAATACTACCAGCCCTTACCAAAAAGGAAACATCCACTTATTTATTTATTTTCCTTTAAATGACATTCTTATTTCCATGTGTGCAAGCTTTGTAGTTCTACAGAACGTTTCCTTGGCTTAGATTTAGAAAAAAAAAAGCAGCTGGAGATCCTGGGTCTCTGCTTCTTCATGTTCTAATTTTTAATCTAATTATTAATCCGGACTCCGCACTTGTTTGGTGAAGCGTTATGTGTAGCTACGAAAGCTTGCATACGCGCAGGGCTCGGGAAGGACTCATAGCTAATTTCGGCAGTGCCACCTGGTTGCTTTACAGAACTTTTAGCAACAATAACGAGGAGGCAGATGCTAAAGAGATCTCAGTCTGAAATTCAGAAGAACGAAATGGGTGGTGGTGGGGAATAAGTAAAGGAAGAAAATACCTTTAATTCAGTTGCAAAAACTGGTTTCCGTATAGGATGGGAGCTGAGGGATACAACCAAACTTAAGGGAAATGTGAGGTTTGCGGAGGGACTGAAAAAAAATTACAGGAGAGAGGTGGCATCAGATAGCTTAGTATTTTGTAACCCAGGAACATCAGATGTGTTAGGCGAACATGATCGCTGGTGGCTGTGAATGATGGGAGTTGTAATCCCAATACATCTGAAAGATGGTCTAGGCTGGTTAGAGTCCCAGAGAATTTCACATAAACACATCCGATGGGCCGTTGATCTGTTGTGCTTGTTCTCATCGCCATCCTTTATTTTAAAATGAAAATTTGCAAATACAGCCAGAAAGAAAGGAAGAAAGAAAGAATAAAAAACACATGCAGTAAGTGAAAATTATGAGCTTGGAATATACAGTATATTAAATTAAGTTCTATATGTATGTATGTACCGTGTTTCCCTCCAAACAAGACAGGGTCTTATATTAATTTTTGCTCCAAAAAAACACATTAGGGCTTATTTTCAGGGGATGTTTTATTTTTTTTCATGTACAGCAATCTACATTTATTCAAATACTGTACAGTCAAGTCATCTGGTTGCTGCACAAGGGTGGAGGGCGGGGTTTCACTAAACCTGTTTCAGATTAGCATCTGTAAAGAAAGACATGTTCATGGTTAGATTAAAAAAGTATGATTTTCTGTGCATACCGTCAGTGTCCTTATAATGATTTAGCTTTGAAATGCAGCATCAGGACTGGAACGGATGCAGAAGTCCACATACATACGAGGAAGAACAGCTGTATGCAGGATAATACCCAATTTATGAGGATCAACATACCCATAATCCTGCTTTCTGAGTAAGCCCTTACTGATCTCATGGGTGTTCCGCTTACCTCCAACTCGGTAACTTTAAATCTGCAAAACACACCGAGGTTTAACGAAAGATCTCTGACCAGCGCGAAATTAGCTTTTCGTTAGAAATGTCCAACCGGAGGCCGGTGCAGGAGATATACACTCAGAATAAAAGAATCCCGAACCCAGGGCTTTATGCTGAGTGTCAGGATATGCAGGTCCTTCCACGTCAAACCTGGTAAATATACCCTGGAAATAAATATAATCCTTCTCTCATTTCCTTGGATAATAAGAAGTCCCAAAGAATAGTAGAACTTGAAAGCTGATTCTCACTTCCTTGGTGGATCTGTCACAAAAATAGCATGACATTTGAAAGCCTCGTTATCACCTCATGCATGGCTCTGTCACAACAATAACATGCCATTAAAGCCCCTATTAATAATAATCATCATGTCAATTTTGACTTAGGGTGACCCATTTTCAGGGTTTTCTAAGTGGAGAAGACTCAAAAGTGCTTTCCCTTTCCCTTCCTCTAGGGGCGCTGTGGGACTGCTCAGCTTGCCCAAGGCCACCCAGGCTGGCTCTTCTCTTGGAGGCACAGGTGGGGGGATTCGAACTCCCATCCTCTGGATCCACATCTAGGGACCTAAACCACTGAGCTATCCAGCCAAGTGAAAAAGACAAAGCTCTGTTTCCACTTTGTTCCACATCACCCATAAATACTAATACCTAAACATCTCATTATTTCTTCACTGGTGCTCTTTCACAAATCGTCGTTGAAACTTGAAAGCCTTGTTATCACCTCACCCATGGATCTGTCAGAAACAATTGCAAAATGTAAGAACTTCACCACTACCTCAGTCAGGATAGCTGACGTCACCTTTTTCCTCTGGAAAAATCATGTCCCAGAACTAAATTTCCTTGTATTTCTCCTCCACTGCATTTCGCCAACCATCAGGTCTGGATCCCTCCCCAGCACCGCACGGCATTTTGCTTTCCGAGGTCAGGGATCAGAAGCCTCCCATTCCGTGCGCAAAACCAGACTTTGCTCGTAGCTGGATCATTCTTCACCGACGGTGAAAGGAGGGCTGTGGTGGTGGGGAAAAACAGATTGTACAGAGTGAAGCGGCCTGGATGAGATCAACATTGAGAGAGAGAGGAAAAAGAAATATCTCACAGATTGCCAAATACCACAGCAGGCCCTGCTCCCATGCCTTTGAACAGCAGCCACGGACTTGTGGACATAAACCGGCCACTACGATTCTGATCCTCGTGGCCTTTAAAGCCTCAGCTGTTGGAGTCCAGGTGTCCGGCTCGAAGCGCAGGAGCAGGCCAGCTTGGGGAGGCTGGGTCAGTTGGCAACCCTCCGGCACTCATAGGGAAATGGCAGATACTCTCTCCCGGCTCCCTCTTAAGTAAGACACCTCCGACCCTGATCCGCCTTTCGCCGGAGGCCCGGTAACCGGCTCTTCTTTTCGCCCTGAGCTCATTAGCCGTTCTCAGGGAGTTTTCCATGAGCTCAGAGGGCGATTATAATATCCCCGGAGTAGATGGCTGATCAGGCCGCCCGGTGTCCTGGGGTAACCTCACGGACCCGGGTTCGGGCAGCCGCTCCTTCCCTTCGGACCCATTCTGTCCTCTTTGCTGAGCCAACGGGACAGGTTGTCTCCACCCGTGGACGTGGGGCCTTTTTCGGTGTCTCACTGAGGACGAGCAGCGTGGGAATGTGAAGGCAAGCCTTCCTCCGGAACCCAAGACCTGCAGGAAAAGGTGAGAAAGGGGTAGGGGAGGAGAGGAGCGTGTGCGTGCGAATGTGTATGCTGTTGTAGGTAATAGGGACAGGCGATCTTTCCAAACACAGAGCCTGTTATGGCCTTCGAAGATCAGCAGCCATGCCGACGGCTGCTAAATTCATTTATTCATCATCGTCCTCTTAAAATTGCAGAGCTGGAAGGGACCCTTTAGATCATCCAGTCCAGCCCCTGGCAGGGATTTGAACTCCCAACCTCAGGCTTCCCAGAGGTTGAACCACTGAGTGTTGACTGAAAATTTTTTCCCCCCCAGAATTTAAGGACTGGGCGGTTTTCTCTAGGTGGATGAATCAAGAACCTCCCAAATCCCAAAACCCTTATCCTAGATGATTACAGGGGTGGGGGTTAAAAAAAGGCTCTTTTAAAACCCAAGATTGGGAGTTCAGGGAGAAGAGCCAGCCTGGGTAGCCTTGGGCAAGCTGCACAATCCCAGGGCAGCTGTAGAAGAAGAAAAGGGGAAACCACTTCTGATTATTCTCTGCGGGAAAACCTTGTAAAGGGTTTCCCTAAATTAGAAATGATTTGACAGCACGTGATGATGATGATGAAACCCCAAGAACAGGCATTTTGACTTCTTTAGAATGAGGAAATATCCCTATAAATGATGGAGAACCTCCAAACCATGATATCTTGGAAAGAAAGGTGTGGCCATCTGGGGAACTTTAGACGACCAGCCTGAGAGATGATGGGGGTTACATGTGAAGCTACTCTACCCTCCCCAAAATTGCGGGCAGGGCTCATTGTTTTCGATGCGTCAGAAAAACGCATCACATTGCACCAGTTTCGGCAGGTTTTAGGCTTCTGAGATTAAACCAGCTATTTAGCAAAGCTCCAGTCCAACCCTATAGGCTGGCAAACAGAGCACCCCTCCACCACGTGGAATAGGACCGAGAGTTGCCAAAATTGGTGACTTTTGTCCTGACCTTGTCAGGACGTTAATAGGTGCCCGATGTGCAGAAATGTAACAAGGGGTGCTCTTCCTTGGCATGGCTTCTGCATAATTTCAGCCCGTTCTCTACCCCAGTTTTCGAGAAGTTAATTAATGTTGTTTTGGGCTGTCAAACCTGCTTCTAGCAAGTTTCATACGTTTGGGTGGTTGGTTTTTAAAAATGAATTTATTTTTCATTGATTCGTTTATTTAAAATATTTATACTCTACATTCTACCCAACTTGGATATTGTATAATATAGTACTCCAGCATTCAATATAAATATTTATAGGGCAGTAAAATAATAACGAAAGCAAGCGGCCACTTTCACGAGAAAGGCAGAGCATGAATATTTTAAACAAGCAAACCATAATGAATCAGTAATAAACCTCAAGGCGGCCTTTCTAGGGCTTCAGTTCTCCGGATAAGGCTGGACTCTGTGCCCCAGCTAGCCCTAAGCAGGACGATGGGCATTGTAGTCTAACAATAACGAATGGTTTTCCGCGCCTGTTCATGGCCATCTGCTTCTTTCAGACGAAATTGATCTGGGGACATTTGTTTGCAGAAGATCTGTTCGTATCCACTTGTGTAAATTGAGCAGGTATATAATAACAACAACAAAATAATAATAACAACAAATCAGGAAAAGATGGCAAATAGACATTATTGCACATTTGCTATCAGGCATGAGAGGAAACTGTTTTTTTTTCTGCCTTGGGTGCTGTCATGTTTTGATCTGCAGCCTGATTTTGGGGAGTTTTTTTGGGGGGGGAAGATGAGCCATTTTTTGCCCTAGCTCAAGCAGGCAGGGCGTGCAGGCGGGTTCTGTAGAAAACAGAATCTCTGCTCCCTTGCTCGCCTTTGAGGTTCGCAGTGAGGAGGAGACACTAAGGCTTGCAAATGTTGAAGGCAGTAGGAAATGAGGAAGGGCCGAGTATGCGACGGACTGACTCCAGAAAAGAAACCACCAGGCTCATCTTGGCAAGAGCCGAGCAGGGCTCAGGAGAGGACGTTTTAGAGGCACATTACGACGACATAGGAAATACTGTAGTCTTTTAGAAAATAAGATGTCGCTACGCCCCAGATCTTCCTGGTTCCCGAGAGAGAAAAATACATCTTGTAGATGTGGGGTTAATTTGCGCAGCTCGAGGGATTATCCTGGCCACGAGGACAGAGTGATTTACAGCACCTCGGGCATGTGGGAGCTTTTCGGCCCGGGGTGGGGGCCCCCTGACCCTAATCCTTCCTAAGCTGCCCCCGTCCTTAGGCATTCTGCGGCCAGGGAGGGGCAAGGCTTGTACGAACGAGGCCGCCCCGTTAAGTGGGCACAGGGAAAAGTCTTTAGCTGACAGAAAGCGACATCTTATTTTAGGAACTTGGGGGGTCCCTGAGTTGCAAATAAATTGCATTTTTGCCAGCCCGCCCAACAACTTCCTCCTTTTCTGGTTTGGCCCCAGATTTTTTTCTCCCAAGTTGGAATTCATACACATTTCCTATGCATTTTTTTTTCCTAAGGTGGGTGTTTTAATCATCATCATTATAACAATCATTTTAAAACTGCAGAGCTGGACGGGACCCTATATAGACCATGAAGTCCAGCCCAAGTGGGGATTCAAACTCCCAACTCCACAGCCAGAGACCGAAGCCACTGAGCTATTGAGCAGTTTTAATGCATGCTTTCTGACAATACATGCATTTTTATGTACTATCCCTAATTTTAAATACATCCCTCCCCACTATGGGCATTATAGCATTTAAAATTCCACTGGACCGTCCAGTGGAATTTATCTGAAATATGCTATAACGTGAGGAAAAAGTGAGAAAATGCTATTTCTATTCAGACTGTTGAAATACTTTTGCATGAAATCCATGAAATACTATTCATCCTCCTCCAATTTATCATCCTCTTTATTAAAATAAATATCAGCCAATACCAATATTAATATGTACATTAACATTAATGCTAATGTAATATTAATGCTAATACAATTATATTAGATACTTTACTATGTATACTTTACATATAATAGATTATACAGTATTTTATTAGTGTATATTTATATGTAAAATATATAGAATATACGGTGTATGTGAGGTCTGGTGGGGTTGGAAGTTTTAACCTGGAAACTGTCTAAATAGTGGTTGCTCTAATGGGGTGGTATATCACTCAATCAATCAATCAATCAATCAGTCAGTCAGTTAGTCACGGAAGGAAGGAAGGAAGGAAGGAAGGAAGGAAGGAAGGAAGATCAATATTGATTATGCATTAAGTCATTGTTACTCTTCTATATTGATTATGTATTAAGTCATTGTTACTCTTCTTCTAATGTTAATATTCTGTCCTTAACTCTGCCCAGTTGGGAAGCATCGGTCGGCTTAGCGCTGAGCCTGGCCTCGCAGATGCGGTCATGACAGAAAGAATGGGGGGCTGCGAGGGTCCAGAGGGTTCTGCCGAAGCCTACACTTCCTGCCCGATGCCAACAGAAGAGGGTCTGGATCCATCCACAAGCGACGAGGGAGGTCTGAATGCTGACCACGAGATGCAATGGCTCTCGGCCCGGGAGAACCTCCCCCTGCAAGCGCCTTCTCTAGACAGCCAGGTAAGACCACGCCACCCTTCCCCTCTTCTCGCTGCTCCTCCATCCCTTTAATCATCATCCCCTCCTCTGCCAGGATTCCTGGCAGTTTCGAGAGCTGAATGGCCTTTTTCTTGTTCCACAACATATCAGGGACGAGGCTGAGAGATCAGATGAGCTTTGCCAGACCTCAGCTGCTTGCACAAAGGGGAATCTCTTTGCAAGAACTGAGCTGCTGAGTTGACTGGAGTTGGCCAGAGCGAATTGGCAAAAGCCTTCCGGGCGATGCGCATCGCAAGAGGCTGACAGGGCAGGAGGAGAGAAAGACACGGGTTGTTTACCGCCGCTCTGATCTGAGTCTCCCCCTGTTGGGTTTCCGCCTGCAGCTCTTCCTCAGCCCGCCACAGGGCCTGGGGGCAGATCTTTTAGGGGACCCTCCCTCTGAGCCCGGTGAGGAGCTGTCCGGCGAACCCTGCGAGGAGATGTGCATCAGAGAAGCTCCCGAGGTCTCGTGCCGAGGGCGACGCCATGGCCTGCCGCCGTGCGGGCCGCTGTGCCCGGGAGCCACCGAGCAGAGCCTCTACGAGGAGGACCACTACGGCCAGCCGTGGGCCGGGAAGGATCGCCTGCCTTCCATCGTGGTGGAGCCCAGCGAGGGCGAGGTGGAAAGCGGGGAGCTGCGGTGGCCCCCAGAGACCTTTTCGTTGCTGGAAGAGGAGGGCGAGGATCCCGACGAGCTCTTTGCCGAAGGCGAGGAGGCTCTGGAAACCGGTGAGTCGGGGGCGGGAACGAAGGGGGAGACCCTCTTCGGCATCCCTTCCCAAGCCGTTTGGGATCCCTGGGAACCCCTTCCGGGGGCCCTAGGAAATCTACTTGGGTTCTTAGGAAACTCTTCTCAGAATTAGTTCCCGTGGCACCCGCCCCATGGAAATCTACGCATCGGGGCCATGTCAAGAGGTGTGTTTTTGCCACAGGGCCAAGATTATGGGGGTGGATGGGTGGAGTACCTGCTAGTCGTTGCAACCGTTGGCTCTCTTTGCCCGGACTGCTTTCCGGCTGATGGCTTTGGTGGTTCGCTTCGGCCCCCTTTCCTCTTTGGTCAACTCGATAAACTTCGTTTTCTTGGGTTTTGTCAAAAATGCTTCAAAACCCATGAACCACCTCGGCAGCCCTGCTCAGAAAAGCGTTTAGCAGCTTTTTTTTTTATCCTTCCTTATGCGTGGGTTTTAAAGTGATGCATTTCCAAGTCACCCAGAGCTGATCGCCAGGCAGAACCGTTCCGACACGCTCCGCGAGACCCCTTTCCAAATTAGGCTCTGGACGCTCTCCTCTAACTTTTTTGTATTTTCAGGTCTGTCCTCTTTTGACAGCGATGTGGAAGAGGTGCTGCTCTGAGCTTGCTTGAGGTTTGGACTTGTTTCTTGCGGGGGGGGTGGAAGGTGGGCAGGCCAGACCACAACCCGAAAACAGAAAAGCCCTCCAGAGCCTCAGAACGAAAGCTAACAACGGAGGCCATAAGCTGCATCTTCGCTTCCATCAATGGCATCCGGAGGTTATCAGAAGTAGAACTGTTGCTTTAGTCAACAGAGGGTGGGCCATCTTTCGAGGCGTAGGACTCCAGGTGTCCTAATTCCATGCTGTTTGTGGCTCATGGGAGTTGTTATCCAAAACAGCTGGAGAGCCACTTCGAACCCCTTCCTGCCTGCCTGCCTATTGCAACCAAAAAGGAATGTAAATAGACGTTAATTCGGAAGCCGTGACTCGCTGTTGCTGCTAATTTCAGGAGCTCATCATCATCCTCCCCCCCCTCCCGATGTTCTTCCTATCGAAATTCTGATTCTAAGGTCCTTGAGGCAGGAGACACACTGAAAAAAACAATCAAACAAAAAAAACACACAACCTCTTCTGGATTAAGCGCTACAAACATCAGGGACGTGGTGTAAAACAGGAGGCAGGAACTGTTCACCCTCCAGCTGGTTTTCCGACTCCAGCTCCCACCATCCACAACCAGGAAGAGGATGATGGGGGTTTGAGTCCATCAACAGCAGGAAGGCCGCATTGGGGTCGCCCTGGATTTAAAACTGCCTGAAAGTCTTTCTGCATCCTGAGTGGGATAAGACCCTTTGCCAGCTGCTCCAGGCACTATCTTTCCATGGAAAGGCAAGAAAATAAATAAAATAAATAAATATTGGGTGCATCAAATATGTTCAGGTATGTTGCAGGGACCTGTGGCTTCCCGGATGCTGCTGGACTCGTTGACACCTATCATCCTTGGCGCTCATCCCTTAGTCAGGATGACCCACTCCTAAGGATGATGGGAGTTGCGATCCAACTGCACCTGCAGAAGTTTCCCTACGCCAGCTCTAAGTCATGACTCTGTTGCAAAATCATACTATCTCTCTTTGGGTGGGTGGGTGATAATATCTGTGACGGTCAATAGACCAGAGGCGATTCCTCGACCGTAGCAGCAGTGCGGGTAAAATCTGTGTAGAATTGGGGCCGCTGAATGGAACCCCCCGGCTCAGCAGCACGATATCTGTCCGCCTCGGTGGCTGTTGCCAAAACGCTGAGCTTTGTGATGGGCTTCCTGGCGGCGGACAGGACACCGGGGGGGGGGGCTCAAACAGGTTTGATCTAACCAAGCAGGCCGATGTTGTTTCTCTACGAGCTATAATCCTTGCGATTGAGTTAATACCGAGCTGCATCGATCTACTCAGTTGTATTCATGGAAACTCCCACGGGAGGCCATTTCTCAGAAGCCAGAATTCCTGTGCCACGTTCTAGATCGGAGTCGGGGAAGATGTGATCCTTATTCCCATCATCCTGTATTCCTAGCCTGGTTGTCTTAGGCTGATGTGAATGGGGTCCGGGGACCCTTGAGTAGCCATACTGTCTCCTTCTCTGTTACTCACACACACACACAAACACAAACCGGTCAGAACACACACACACGGATATTCCTTGGACTGAGTCCCTCCAGCCTAGCATTGCCAACTCTGGCTGGTAGCCACCGCTCTCTGAGATTTGGGGGCAGTGCTCAGCATCCTTTGTATGCAACTCAGAAATAAACGATTTGCATGCTACGTTTGGCGTGATTATTCCAATAAAACTGCTGCTCAGATCAGATCGCGGGACCCCATCGGTGTGCGGTTCTCCGCCTGGTGCAATTCTGTGGGGCGCATTATCTGGGTCTAAACCCAGCACCATGTGGCTGTCTGGTTCGATTCAAATGTGACATAAGAAAAAGCAATAAAGCCACTTTTTCTGTCTTCTGCATTCATTGCATCAAGTATGGAAAAGTGTGGAACCGATGTTGGCTTAGCTATCTGGTCAACGGGTATCAGAATCCTTTGCAAATTCTCTTTAAGCACATTTAGAACAAACAAGGGCTCCCTTCTCTTCCCCTTTCTTGCTTCTCTCGACCAAATGGATTCTTACAATACGGGGAGGACCCCCTCGTCCGCGGGAATCCGTATCCGCTGATTCGCTTATCCGCGGCCTGAAAATAAAAGCAAAGGGTTGAAAAACTAATTTGTTTTTGGGAACCCAATTCCTGGGATCTCCCAGTGGCCGTGCCCAGGAGAGAAAAATCGGGGATTCGTATTTCTGTCAAAAACATAGAAACTAACTTAGGGAATTAAATCAGCAGAAGAACACTGGCCTGGGTCAGTTTTCCTGGTTTCTTGGACAAGATAAAGGCTGAGCAAATGAAAATGAAAGATTTAGTCCTGTCCCTTGAGAACTGAATGTGACCATATTCTAGTCCCCCTGAGATCTTGGCAAGCTTATTTATTTTGTTTATTCAAAATATTTTAATCCCGCCTTTCTCCTGAAAAAAGCACCCCGAGGCGGCTTACCTCATGAAAATACAGTATTTAAAAGCTAAAAACAAGTCAGTATGCAAATATTTAAAAAGAACCAAACAAATGCACTAACAAGGGTAAATAAAAACTGACACCGAAAACAAGATTCAAAGTAGCCAGGCACATTTAAAACACCCCTCTCAGGCTGCCAGACGTTGAGAGAAAGCTTGCCTGAAGAGAAAAGCTTTGGCCTGCTTGCAGAAGGACAGCAAAGGCGGGGCCAGCCTAGTTTCCAGTGGCAGGGAGTTCCAGAGTCTGGGAGCAGAAAACGGAGAAGACGCTGTCCTGGGTTCCCACCTGGTGGGACTTTAGATCTGAATCTCCCAGAAAGCTACAGGGTCACAGGTGATTTCCCTCACTTGGCTTGGCCTTGGTTTCTCTCTTTCTGACAGGCCGGAGTGGGTTTTTACGCCAAAAAGAACCGGTTTGACTGCTTTTCCTACTTGACGGTCCCGCAAACTCCAGCCAAAGATGCCCAAATATCAGGTTTTCTGGCCGATCGTATAGGCATAGTAGCTGATCCCACCCTTGGGCCCGATTTCTTTCACGGTGACGTTCACCGCTCCAGCCTGTTCCAGAAACGGCACCCTGGCATCCGGGTCCTCATCCGAGAACTGAATCAGGCTTCCTCCGGGCTTGAGGACCCTCACGCACCCCGCCATGAACCTCCGGGCTCGGTCCGGGCCTTGCGGGCAACGCAGGACGGCGTCACAGGTCCCTTTGTCCAGGACGAGGTGGAACGACGCCCACTCGAAGCTGCTCGCCAGGTCGGTGGCGTCGGCCAAGCGGCACCGCAGCTCGGAAAGAGGGTGGCGCGGCGGGGGGCTCTGCCGTAGCAGCCAGCCCACGGCCTCCAGGGCCAGAGGGGAGAAATCCAAGCAGCAGACGTGAAGCTGGCGGGGCGACTCTCGATAAAGGCTCAACCCTAAGGAGGACGTGCCGCAGCCCACGTCCAAGACGTCGGCCCGTCCGGAAGGGAGGCCTCGAAGGACGGTGTAGAGGAGATCCGAGACCTCTCGGTAGCCGAAGAACCAGTCGAAATGGCCGGGGGGTCCCGATCCTTCCAGTTTAGCCGCGTAGAAGCGGTCCCAGGTGTCCTGCTGGTCCATCCGCCCCAGGTGGTCGTCTGGAAGATGGAAAAAAGGACGGCGGAAAAGTTTTCAGAGCCGTAAAAGCCGCCCCGTGGAAGTCGCTGTGCGGCGTCCACCCACCCTGGCGTTCTTAGATCGCTCGAAAGCCACACCCAATAGGTGCCGATACTTTGGGGGCATATAATCCTGCACCTTATTCCAT